GTCGCTCCGTTCCAGCAGTATCCTCACCACTCCCTCGTGCCCATTCTCGGAAGCCCACGAAAGCGGTGTTTGGCCATATTGGGTGTCGGCTGTGTCGGGACTGATGTCGCTCCGCTCCAGCAGTAGCCTCACCACCCCCTCGCGCCCATTCTCGGCAGCCCACGAGAGTGGTGTTTGGCCGTATTTGGTGTCCGCTGCGTTGGGATTTATGTCGCTCCGTTGCAACAGTGTCTTCACTACCCCCTCGTGGCCATTCCTAGCGGCCCACGAGAGTGGTGTTCGACCATATTCGGTGTCAGCCGAGTTGGGATTGACGTCGTTCCGTTCCAACAGTAACCTCACAATCCCCTCATGCCCATTCTCCGCAGCCCATGTGAGTGGTGTTTGGCCATGTTCGGTATCAACCGTGTCGGGATTTAGGTCGCTCCGCTCCAGCAGTATTCCCACGACCCCCACATGGCCATTCTCGGCAGCCCAGGAGAGCGGTGTTTGACCATATTGGGTATCGGCTGCGTTAGGATTGACGTCGCTCCGTTCCAACAGTATTCTCACAACTCCCCTCATGTCCGTTCTCGGCAGCCCATGAGAGCGGTGTTCGGTGGTATAAGATATCAGCTATGTCAGGATCGACGTCGCCCCGCCCCAGCAGTACTCTCACGACCCCCTCATGCCCACTCCTAGCGGCCCACGAGAGCGGCGTTCGACCATACAAGGTGTCGGCGCTATTAGGATTGACGTCGCCCCGTTCCAACAGTATCCTCACAACCCCCTCACGCCCCATCCTAGCAGCCCAGGTGATTGCCGTGTTGCCATTGAAATCAGTTGCCTGCACATCCCACTTCCTCATCTCCAGCAGAGCAACTGTTATCTCCACACACCCGAAGTATGCGGCACAGTGAAGCCCTGTAAATCCTTTGGGGGCATCTTCCTGATCAAAAGGCTGGTCCCAAGAGCCCAACCCATTCAATAACAGCATCTTTGAAGAAATGTGCTTATCGTACCCATCGAGTAGTTTCAATGCAAGAATTTTTACACTTTCTGTGGTTTCCCGTCTCGCATGTGTACCCCAATGACAAGAAGCATATTCGACAAAAGGGATGGTTGATGGGGCAGAACGAAGAGTAGGCGAAAACCCCTTGACGTGCCGAAAACTGAGGTAAGT